AGATAAGAAAATGCATAGAAGAGAGACACAGTATCATTGTGTCGAATTAGCAGAAAATGATCAATAGCCTGCTAGATTGGCCATATAGAAAAATTAAAATAGACCAAATTGTCAAAGAAATTGAAGAAGAGGCAGTACTTCTATATAAGACAAAGGAAGTCCTTAAAGAGGTCAAAGATCATTTCTAAAAGCAATTCTGAGAAAGAAATATGACAAACCCAAGTACACTACCAGAAAGATAAGCAAAACAATACTTCCCAAAAGAGAATATAGATAAGACATAGTATTCAAAAGTATTAAATAACGTTAATGCAGCAGAGTGGGACTGTGCCCTTGTACAAGTCAAAGCTAAGTCAGCCCCAGGGATATCTGGAATTACATATTCTTTAATTAAAGAGGCAGAAAAAATCGCAAGAGGGTTCTTTATAAATTTTATCTCAGCTTGTATAAAGTCTAGTGCAATACCAAAGAAGTAAAAGCTAGGTATTTTGTATCTAATACCTAAAACAGAAGAATAGTGTTATAAGCTTAACAATGTCCGACTAATATTACTTCTGGAGTCTTTTAGAAAGACAGTCGTGAGAATTGTAATAAACAAACTAACCAAAGTTATAGGAGAGAAAAAAATATTTAGAGAGAGGAACTTTGCAGACCTACTAGGCGAAGATGCCGTATCACCTATACACCTTCTAGGTTGTTTAATAGAAGAGACAAAAAAAAAGAAAAAAGAATTATAGATAATGTTTCAGAATATGAAAAAAGCATACAATTCAGTAGGGCTAAGAATGCTAGAGTTAGCTATAAAATAAATTAAACTTCTTAAAACTACAGTCCATTTTATTTTAAGCCTATATAAAAGCAGAGAGATGGAGGTTTTAACAAGTATTGGTATGACAGAGAAATTTATAGCAGGTGATGGTATAGATCAAGAAGAAGTAATATTCCCCTTGGTATGACAAATCTTTTATGACCCTTTGCTGACTAAAATACAAGAAAGTCCCAAGTGAGATTATAGGTTAGAAGTACAGTGGCCAAATGATCTTAGAAAAAACCTAACTTATTAACAAGGTTTGAGGATTCCAGTTATTGCTTATGCGGATAACACTACATTTATAGCAAACAGCAAACAGGAGCTAGAAGAAACAATTGAGATCGTACAAGAATTTTATAGAATAAATAATATCAAAATAAATAGCAAAAAATCAGAGCTCTTGGTAATTGGAGGAGAGAGAAAGAAGCAAGAGTTAAGATGCATAGAAATCAGACCAACAAAAGAAAAAGTAATTGAGAAAAAGTCAAATGAACCAACAAGATTTCTGGGAGTATGGCTATCCAAGAAATCTAGCCAGTACCATGCACTAGACATTTCCAGAAAAGAGATTAATACAATAACAACAGCATTAACAAGAAAAAGTATAATACTAGCATAGCTAATTTATATCAACAACAGAGTACTTTTGCTGAAATTGGAGTACAGACTACAACATAGTATTCTTTTAAGAGAACAGTGCGACAGGTTGCAGAGCCCTCTAGTACAGCTGATAAAGAATAAATCTGATCTGGCCATTACAATAGCTAATGCTATCCTAGTGTGGTAAAAATTCCAGATATTAGGTCGCAACATGTGCCAGAGGGATGGGTTTTACACGGAAGACATTCAGACAAAGATCGGTTTTGTATTTATTTATGTAATTATGTATTTATTTAATAAAGGATTATTGAATTTTGTATAGGACATGTTATTACAAAGAGGTGAAACTAATACCTTTAAATATATGTTTTAGAGAAAAAGTAAAAGAAATCTAATAGGTTCTCTAAAAATTAGTGGGTTGTTTGGGTTGTGTAGATTGTATAAACCTTACAGAGGTGTATAAGTTGTATAGAATATATAAACCTTATAGAGGATGTGTAAGTTGTATAGGGTGCATAGGCCTTGTATATGCATGGATCATAGATTGCATATAGGCCATGGTACTCCTATATAAGGTAAGTTAACTAATTGTAATATACAAATAAAAGGGGTAATTGTCATGTACTAGAAAATAGTCACATGCTATAAACTAACTACTATAATACTATAATACTATAATTTTTATCACACTAGTATACAAAACATAGCAAGGCTAAAAACAATCTGGCAAAACTAAATAGCACATTATGTAACAGAGCTTAGGAAACGAATAAATAGCCAAGGTGTTCTTAGAGAAGCTGTATGGATTAAAATTCGGCAAGCACAAATAAATTGCAAAAGCCCAAAATGCATTATAGGCCTGGAACTAGCAAGATTAAGGAAAATACATCTCAAGCAAAACTTAATTTACAAAATCATGACAGAGGCGAAACAAATAAACTTAAGTTTTAGATCAGAGGAAATGGAAATAAGCCTTGAACTTACAGAAGAAAGTACTGAGATAGTAAACTTGCTAGCCTCATTCAAGAAAAAAAGGCAGGAATCTTTGTATTAGAGCAACTATGTAATGAAACAGGTAGCAAATTGCTTATATGGAAACAAATCAAGCAATGTAAATGATACAAAGCTGCTGGCAAAGTGCCCAAATGGTTTAGAAGCATCGAGGAAAAGGTCTTAGAAAATAAAGAGAGCTGTATAATCAAACCTAACTTCAAAACTAAAGCAATAAATACTTTAAGTTCAAAAAATTACATGCTCTATTATAGACAATGACAAAAGAAAAAGAGAATAAATATTGTTAAGAAACAGAAAGAATGAGATGAGGATTGGAAAAGTAAACGAAAAGAAGAGGCACAAAACTTACGTAATAGAGCATTAGGAGACGATTCTGAACCCGGATAACAGTATAGTTAGATTCAAAAAGTGCTCAGGTTGTGAACAGAATATGAAGAAAATGTTTATTTTTATTTTATACTATTACCTTAAGACTATGGAACCTGGAACAAGTATATAATAAAAATAATTACTAATATCCCTATAAATCTATACCCCCCCTAAAAACTTTCTCTAGAATAGCTTGGAACGAAACAGAATTTCAAAATCAAAACTCCGGTGAAACCATCACGGTGATAGTCATTAAGTGTGGTACAGGATTTATTGTGAGTTTAATTAGTAGTGATCTAAAAAGGTAGTTATTGATATAGTGAGTGGTCAAAGATCGGCAAAGATCGGCATTAAACAACTTTTGGAACAGCGTTCTGATTGGTTGAATTTTAGTAAAACCCGGCAATTTTTACATAGTGCAGCCAATCACTGCTCTGTTCCAAAAAATTTAATTAATGGAACAAGTTGAAAAGTAAACTCCGGACGATCTTTTTTTTTGAAAAAATCCTGGCAAAATTTCCGGTAAACGAAAATGTATTTTGTATTAAAATTAATTATTCATTTGTGGACATTGTATCTTTTTTTAGTGAAATTTCGTTAAATTCAAATTTTATGTTTTTTAAAAATTGCCCAGTAAAATTTCTGGTATTCTTGTTATTATAAATTATTAATCTGTTCCAAATTCGTAAAATATGAATTTAGAACGACAATGGGTCTTTTGATTTTCAAATTCTTTAAATCTGAAATCGGAAAGATGAACTACTATAAATATGTTCATTAAAGAATCTAAATTTAGAAGTCGTGCTTTATAAAATGTCAAAAGTAAAAATTATAAGAAAAGATAGAGAAAAGAGAAAAGAGTGTGAAAAAGAAAGAATATTTTTTAAAGATATGATGGTACATAAAGATCAAATGATGGTATGTAAAAATCAAATACTAGTGTTTTTAATTTATTTTAATATTTTTTTAATAATTGTCGGTTAATTTTTTTAATTATAAGAACAAAAGATGAAAAAATGCATACTATTGTCTTTTGGTTTTACTTTTAATAATCTATAAAGACTATGATAATTTTATCATGATGTATAACCTTGATTTTTGGGGTTTTAATTTCACATAATTATATATGAATTGTTAATCTATTCCAAATTCGTAAAATACGAATTTGGAATGATAATGAGTCTTTTGATTTCCAAATTCATAAAATACGAATTAAGAAGTTCATTGTCTCAATGAACTTCTATATTCGTAAAATCCGAATTTGGAAAATTAATAATTAAAATTGCAAAAAAAATTTATGAATTTTGAAAGAAAAAATGAAGAAAAAACGAAGAAATTTGTTGAAAAAAATATACATTTTTCTTGAAAAAATATTATAAATAATATTCTTCTAAGTTCTCTCTTTAATCTTTAAAAAAATGTCTTTTTCATCTTTATCGTCTCTTTCTCAAAATTGTGTTAATTTTGTTACTTATAATTTTAATCGTCAAGATTTTGATCAATTAATTCAAATGTATTTTGAAGATGAAACAACTTGTCCTTTTACTTATATTGTTTATTAATATGAACGAAATTATAATGTTTTTCAAGAACGAGATTGTCATATACAAGGATTTTTATGTCTAAAGAAAAAAACTAGATTTGGTTATTATAAACCGTCAACTGATGAAAAAAAGAATAAAATAAATGGTATAAAAGGTTTTCTAAAGATTGACAAAATACATTTTGAACCAGTTGGAAGTGAGCCTGACTCTATACGCTACTGTAAAAAAACTTTTAATAAATATTCTATTCATAATCGAAAAGAAGTTGAATATGATGTAGAACGTTTTTCCGAATATGAATTCATTAGAAACACAATCTCAACTTCCAATAAAAAATGAGTAACAAATTGTCGATGCAGCTATGAAGATTTAAATGATTTTTCAGAATGTAAATAGTGCACTTTGGAATGTTGTTCTCAACGTACATTGGCTAGATATGATGAAAATTCGGGGCCATATAAATATTCGATTCAAGAAAATAAAAGAAAAGAATCAATTTCAAGAACAACTATTGAAAGATGCGCAAGAATATATGGATGATATTCTTGTAAAAAAAATATCAAAAGAAGAAGCGATTGTTAAATATGCTGAGAAAAATCCACAATGGATCACTCAGAATCCAAATAATATTGCTATTATTTGTGATGCTCGTGATAAGCTTTTACAGAAAAAAAAAATTATATTGAACATTGTTGGCGTCTGGTAGTTTTTTATATTTATAGTCCTGGTGACTCTGGAAAGACTGAACTTATTAGCGAATTGTTTGATGGCGAATATTTTGAAAGCACAAAAAACAATGTAGTAGATCAAATTATTGGAATGGGTATGATGGGCAAGAGATAGTTTTTTTTGATGAATTTTATACTAAAATTGATTGGTCA